GGGCGGGGGGGGGGGGGGCAAAACCCCCTCAGGCCCCATGGTGCCCCACCCCACTCAACAATTTTGGCCCCCTCAGTCAAAGTCTTCTTTCTGTGAAATATAGGCAAAACATTGGAAGAAAAGTGGATTTTGATATTCTAGTAAATGAAATTTGTGAATCTTATGTCATATGTCTTTTATCTTGAAATGATTCAATCTCTTTTTTAAAATGCTAAACATTGTGTTGTAAATACTTTTGATTTTAAAAATTTCCGTGTGGTTAGCATATCCCAGACCCTATAGATTTGAGTTGTTGGAAGGCTAGGCTAAACAAGTTAGTGACGGAGTTGTGGTATCTACATAAACATACCATGCAGGTACTTAACTGAAGATTCGGTCTATCTACAGCATAATGTAAGGTTGTATATCTAAAAATCTGTTTCAGAAAACGCACAAAATGCAGTCCTAGGGGTGGAAAAATGCAAAAGACCCCCCTAGGCCCCTACTATTACATACAACACCACACCAAACTTTTTGTCACCAATTGTCATCCACTCTCAGGATAGTATGATCTCTTTTTGTAGATGCCCCCCCCCCCTACGAATTCTTAAAAAAGGCTCCAGATGAGACAATATTACTTGTTAAAGCGAGGTTGCTGCCACGCCCACTCAGTGGCTAATATTCGCTAATACATGTCATTTTACTTGCCAAGGGAAAAATGTTGGGTATTACTGTCGATGCAATGGAAGCTTTGATAAAATATTGCATGAATTCATTTCCTCAAGTTGATCAATTCATACGAATTCAAATTTCTTTTTACTTCCTGTGCGTTCCCTATTGGTCAATCGGTTCTAAAACGAAATCTAATTGGCTCATCCAAAAGTAACAAGTAGTTGATCAATTTTCTATCAGATGAATTGATCAACTTGAGGAAAGGAATTGGTGCAATATTTTATCAACACTTCCATTGTATCGACAGTAAAATATTTGCCCACATTAACTGGTCATGAAGCAGCTACTTTCCTGATGCGTTTTACATTGGTGAGACAGCTGTTATACATGTAAAGGGAAGTCCCTTGGGATTCATTTTATTAAAACAAGTAATTATTGCTCCACAGAGGTTCTATTTCATCATAAATTCTACAATAATTTAACTTTTTTGTATAGGATTTTAAATGGTCATGAAAATTTAATTGAACATGTGATATTATTGAAATTGATGCAAAACATTCGTGACATGGTACGCAATACTGGTATTGGAAAATTCCATTTATTTAATTTGTACATTAATATGGAGGATAGCTATTTGATACAATCAGAATATGTCATAGATGGATTTCAGATTTTGCTCTAGGGGTTGCCGAAAATTCGAGGGGGTGCAAAGTATTTTATGGGGTGCGCACCGCCCTGCGCCATATTTATTTTTATTATTATTTATACCAGATTTATTTCGAGTGTTGAACATGATATCTCTCCAAGCACCCATGTATTTTTCTGTTTATTATATAAAGAACAGTCTTTGAAAAGCGATAATTTTAGAGAAAAGCGATAATTGAAAAGCGATTTATTATATAAAGTATAGTGCTTTATAGAGACTTCGAGCACTGATAAAAGTGATAATCTCACATGTGAGATTATTCATGATGATCTCGCATGTGAAAATTATCGCTTTTTAATTATCGCTTTTCTCTAAAATTATCGCTTTTCAAAGACTGTTCTTTATATAATAAACAGAAAAATACATGGGTGCTTGGAGAGATATCATGTTCAACACTCGAAATAAATGTGGTATTTCCGCGCACCCATGTATTATTCTCTATTTATTCAAGGGGAAAATTTGCAAATCTGTTACATTTTTAGATTCATTAAATATTTATATTGTGGGCATTATTATGATTGTACATAATGTAAGATACCAAATAAAATAGAAATGTATGTAGGATAAAACACACCAAGTGAAGTGGAAACAAAATTACTATGAACTTAAGCAGCGGTCAGAAAAAGGATGAGAGTGCAACTCTCGCGTACGTTTTGACCACCAGTATGGATTACAGTCGGATCTCTATTAACGGATACCTCTCTTAAGGTGGAGTAATTAGCCATTCCGAAGTTGCTTAGAGGGCTGGGGACGAGTGTTAATAAGTGCCCGAATTAAGAAATGAACCAAATGACTAAAAAGACCACCTCAAAATTAGTAAGTATACAAAGTTTGAAGACGTTTACATGAATACCCTTCGAATAATAAGCTTTCGAAAATTGTGAAATTACTGATTAAGACTATGTGCACACGGGCGTCGTTTTGCAGCGTTTTCAAAAACGTTTTTGTCCGTAAAATCGTTTTGACGCCGTATTCGCACAGCCCAAAGGAAAATATCTCGGATATATTAAATAAACTACAACTTCTGTCGTAAATTGATAGTGTTTGTATCCGTTTTAGCGTGAAAACACAAATGAAAACGCTCGAAAACGTCACCGTGTGCACATAGTCTAAAAGATTGCTTTTGGGACGCGCGTCCCCAAAACAAAAATTACAATACATTTCATAGTAAATATCCGGCAGTAAATATCACGATTTTCGAAAGCTTATTATTCGAAGGATATTCATGTAAACGTCTTCAAACTTTGTATACTCACTAACTTTGAGGTGGTCTTTTTAGTGATTTGGTTCATTTCTTAATTTGGGCACTTTTTAACACTCGTCCCCAGTCCACTCATCAACTTCGGAATGGCTAATACGGGCAACAAAATTGCTGCAACTTGCAACAAAATCAGATTTCTGCTCATGTTACAGTTGATTTCACATAACTTTTCCGTGAATGTTGCGAACTTCGTTCCGAACTTCGTTGTTCAAAACTTCATACTGAAATTCACAAGCCAGTTTGTAAACAAAGCCTCTAATTGGCTTATTTTTGTTAAGGGACCAAACAGAGGCTTTGTTTACAAACCGATTTTCGGACCGAAGTTCAGTGTGAACTTTTGAACTTCACAACGAAGTTCGGAACGAAGTTCGCAACGTTCACGGAAAGGTTATGTGAAATCAACTGTAATTGTTTATGTTTACACATAAATTACAAATCACGAGGCAACATGTCAATGTTGAAATCAGATTTTGTTGCAAGCTGCAGCGATTTTGTTGCTCGTATTAATACTCGAGCTTCAAGGCCCGTTTACACTTGCAGTTTTCGCTGAGATTTCTAATGCGACTTTCCCCTTCTGATGCATGTGAACGAGTAGATGAGTTATGAATGTTCAGAGTACATTAACCATAGATATAGGAGATCTAGATTGCTAACGCATACCTAGCGCAGGCGGGGCCTACATGATAAATCCAAGATGGCGGTACAACAGGGCAAAACGACTATAAACTCTATTACGAAAATCAGAATTTTGCATTTTTTGCCGTCGCATTGTTTTGAAACTTATTCGGTCAAATTTTATGGTAAAGAGAAACTTACCGCGAAGATTTTGAGCATATATATGATTGAATTGGATGAAAAATCGCAAAATTATCCAGCGATAAAAGTTCGTGTATAGTACTGATATAGTACTATATATGTAAATTGTACAGTTTTGCTTTAATTTTTGCTCACTATTTGCATAAAAAGCAAATTATAACAGACCTTAGATGATAGACCCTCATCCAGTGCTCTCATCAGTTTACTTCTCTAACAAGCAAGGAGGGGGGGGGGGTACATAACAGTTCATTTTTCATAATTATGAGGACAGAGCAGATGATGATGAGAGATGCAAGTATAAAACACCATTCACAAGGCTAGATGTTAACATAGCACAGTATTTCTGGCAATAAAACGCTCCAACTGACCATTTCACACGAACTTTTATCGCTGGATAATTTTGCGATTTTTCATCCAATTCAATCATATATATGCTCAAAATCTTCGCGGTAAGTTTCTCTTTACCATAAAATTGTACCGAATAAGTTTCAAAACAATGCGACGGCAAAAAATGCAAAAATCCTGATTTTCGTAATAGAATCTATAGTCTTTTTGCCCTGTTGTACCGCCATCTTGGATTTATCATGTAGGCCCCGCCTGCGCTAGGTATGCGTTAGCAATCTAGATCTCCTATATCTATGACATTAACCCTCATCTGAACATACATAGCTCAGGGTTCGTACGGGTCCTGGAAAAAATTTCAATATTCCAAAATCCAGGCCTGGAAATCCTGGAAAATCAATTGTAGTCATGGAAAATTGAAATTTTACATATTAAACATTAACAAAGTATTTTACTTATTTCAATTTACCAGTCATAACAATAATATGAATTGTTGTTCTATAACGGATTTTTGCAAGAGCGAAGTGAATTTTGTTCTTTTATTATATCTATTATCGTTAAAATATTAACGAATTTCAGAAATTCCAGACTTCATCGGAAGAAGAAAATTGCCCCTAAAGTCGGAGCAACAATTGCAAGTGTAAACGGGGCTTTAAGCGGACGCCCCTCTTAATTGGGCCCATACCTCCGATCCCAATGATTTCTTCAACAAAATGTATAGAATTATCATTACCCCTATTCAGCGCACAACTCTATTTAGCGTAAGCGGACACTTAGCTCGAGATCCCAATGAGCCGAATAGCCTCTCTTAAGGTGGCTCCCTACAGTTGTTTAAGCATGGGACTGGTAACGAAATGACGCGATCTTCTCGAGTTGAAATTTTATCACGCCAGCAAAAATTGTATTTGACCGCGCAATGTTTGTAATGCAATAAGTTGTTTTCCCTCGGTCAATTTTTCTGAAATTTTGTATTTTAGAGGTAATAGTAATTTATTGCAATATACTCAATTTTCAAAAGATTCTATACCACAGCAACATACAATTTACTTCTGTCGAACAATTGTGCTTGAAGTATAAAGATTACGCAAGCGTTGTATCTACTCCCAAAACAATCCCCATTTCCCATAAATAGCAAAGAAATATTTTGCGTTCTTTACAACTGTAGGGAGCCACCTTAAGCAGACACAATTGGTGAGGTCCACTTAATAGAGGCTCGTATGACTGCATAACAAGTTCGCTTGGGTCTGACCAGAGGTTGAAATTTAAAAAAATTTAGATAGTTTGGCAAAGTATGTAGTCATTTTTAATTTCCTTTACAACGCAATCATAAAAAAATATGTGAAATTTCGTTGCATATAAGTACTTTAAAAAACATGCTTTTACAGTAGATATGCTTGATATCACATTTTACAACGGACCAGCGTCTCTCGAATTAGGAATATTTCTGGGTCTTTTCGAATATTTACCAAGTTTTTCATTGTTATTTTTTACAACTATACCCTCGACGTCACACATACTTTTATCCCTTTCTACCTCCCGCTTCCCCAACACATCCCTCCTACGATTATCCATCAAACTACCATTATCCCTCTTTTGCCCTTTCCTTATCCCACCTGCATCCAATGAAGAGAATTTCGTGTTAAGAAATTTTGAATGATGAAGTCGTCTCATTTCGCTGTCCACAAAACTACTTAAACCATTCTTCTCAAACCTTTCGCTTGACTGATGATCATGCGTGTCGTGTGTTGTGGCTGAATATCTGTGCAAATAGGTTTCTTCGTTGAGACAAAGCGTAGAATCTTGCACTTGTCTTAAATATTGCTTTTGTGGCGAGGTCGAACCGAAAACTTTTGTGACTGATTTCCTTTCGCTTGCTGTCATCGGCACCATCTTGTCACCTATAGAATCACACATATCATTCAAATGGGTGATTTCAGCTATAGACTAAATTTTGATCAAGGCAAGATGAAGGAAATCCAACACCACAGCTAGAAAGAGCATCGTAGAATGAGTAAAACTGCAAATATTGGTTGTTAAATGTTGCGAAATGAACAAAATATAGCTTTGTGAAGTTCTCAAATTTTGTATATATTTGTATTACGCGCTAGAAAAATAACCATTTTTGAGTCGCTGTAAAAATAACCATTTTCGGTTCAAAAATGATTATTTTTCCCGCGCGTAATGCAAATATATACAACATTTGCGAACTTCGCCGTGCTATATTTTTTTCCTCATTTTACAACAATTCGCACTCAAACTTTGCAATTTTACTCAGTTTAAGATGTTCTTTGCAGCTGGTAATCGACACCTTTCTTCTTGTCTAGATCAAAATTTCGTCTATAGCTGGGAATCATCCATTGGGTTGCGATAATTCAATATTTAACAATTAGACAACGAGGCCGAGTTGTCTATGAGCGAATAGTTAACGAGGCGAAGCCGAGTTGACTATTTGCTCATAGACAACGAGGCCGAGTTGTCTAATTGTTTTAGTATAAACTTTAACATTAATTTACAACTAGGCTGCAAACACAATACAAAAATACACAAAAAAAAAACATTATAAAACCATTAAAGGTAAACAAATATTTTAGTTTTTGTTCGCGTAAAATGTTTTACAAAATTCAGTTTTAATTTTAAAATTTCATTGAGTGTATGTTATTTTGTCTATTTTCTTACCCTTAAAAATTGCCATTCCATATTTTTGTTGCTTTTTCGTGTTTTTTTTAGTACAGAATTGTTCAACAAGTCGTCCAAAAAATCATCAGACACTTCGGCAAAAGTGCAAAATGCGAATTTTCCGCCATTTTGAATTTTCGATTAGTAGGCTATCACTAATAGCCTACTAGTAGCGTACCCAATCAGAAGCCACGATATGTGATAGCCTAACAGTAGGTTTATACTAATTTTCGTTATTCCAGTATCCGTTATTCCAGCTCTCATGCAACTCTTGTTCTCGTTCGACCGGGGCATGAAAGTTAATTGAGAAAACTCTCATGCAAAATCTCACTTCTCAATCGACCATTTGCGTAACAGACTAAATTTTGATATCTAAACAAGTCTAGACAAAAATTTCATCACAGCTTGAAAGAGCATCACAAAATTAGTAATATTCCAAAGTTTCGTTGCGAAATGTTGTAAAATGCGGATAAAATAGCCTTGCGAAGTTTGCAATTTTCAGTCATTTTAGATTACAAACGGGAAATTGACAGCCCCAAAGGGTATTGGGCTGTCAATTTCCCGTTTGTAATCTAAAATGACTGAAAATTGCAAACTTCGCAAGGCTATATTATCCGCATTTTACAACATTTCGCAACGAAACTTTGGAATATTACTAATTTTGTGATGCTCTTTCAAGCTGTGATGAAATTTTTGTCTAGATCAAAATTTAGTCTATTACGCAAGTTGTCAATTAACCATCGCATATAACAACCCGACAGTTAATTGAAATACCGGTAATCCGGTATACTACTCCATTTTTCTCTGGCTTACATCAGACTATTTTAATCTCCATTGTTTTACTCATCAAAGGGCCAAGTGAAAAGCCTTAACAATTACTGATAAATGTTAACTGTATAATCTTCGCTGCTAACAACAATTAACTGGTATACTGAATCAGTGAATGTAGTTTATTTACGTACCTAATGGGCTGTCGTGAATCCATGCGGCAGTTCTTATAGATTTTCGTAAACTGCTATCCATTTTTTCATATTTCTGTTCCACTAATATTGTAGTATATTCAAAATTTATTGCGGAACTGGCCAGTCGTTGGACTAGAGTTAACCGTCACTATAGAAATCGACTTTCGAAATCTTTGCCACCTGTTTGTTGGTTGTTGTATTTGGTAAACAATCTTGAAGTTAATTAAAATTTACATGCTGTAATCTAAACTAACTTTTGATAAACCGGATAGCTCAACCAAGTCATGTATGATCAGACTTCAATTGCTCTCTCGAGAACTGTGGGTTCACGCACAGCCGGACATATCCTTATTGATCCAGGGTTTCTACAACAGGAATCTTAATTGAATTATCAGTTTTAATAAACTGGTTTTCATAAGTTTCTTGTGAAAGACTAAATCCATTTACCAAGTCAAATCCGAGTCAAACGTTCGAGGCACGTAAAAAAAGACGAAATTGAATAAAATTCACATTCGAATAGGATTAGGAGTTGGGTGTTTAAGGTTAAGGTACTAAGTCATTGAACTACAAAGACCGCTAAACAGTGACTCCGGACATTTCACTCGCGGACTCGGATTTAACTCGGTTAACCGACGAACTCCGAAATTGAATAAAATTCATAATCGAATAGTGTTAGAAGTAGGGTTAGGGTTAGGGTAGTAAGTCATTGAACTACAAAGACCACTAAACAGTGATTCGGACATTTGACTCGGGCTCGGATTTGACTCGGACTTGACTCGGTTAACCGACAAACTCTCTTGTGAAACATATACTAGATAACAGTCGTTCTATCAGTTCTAAAGAGCTAGAATTAGCATCCCAGCTAATTAATCCATGCAGTGCTACGAAAGGAAACCTAGATTAAACTAAACTTAATTTATACTGAGTGGCACTTGGGAACAAGACATTATTTTGCAAATCAGCAATGGGAACAAAGCCAAAAATATCATAGGGAACATGTGGAGAACATGGTGAAATAATTGTTAGGATCAAGGGCCCTCAGTTCTAAACTGTTCTCCATATAGAGGCCTAGGCCCATAGAGATTCAGTAAGGATCGCATATCCCTTCTAGATCCAGTGATACTAGAGCAGAACCTAATCCGAACTAAAGTATTTATCCAACTATCCCTGGTCCACACTGGAAGAAACCCGCGGAGCACCGAGCACTACCCAGGCATCCCCGCATCGAGCCTTTGCCCGTGTCCGCCCTAACCCTTCTTTAGGGGCTGGCAAAGGTTTGATGCGGGCAGAGTATCCTGAAAGCAGAGACTCGGCATCTGGTGCAACCAATCTGGGGACGAGATTGTGCTAAAACTGGAAACACCGTCTAGTCCCAGGCAATCTTTCTTCGCTGTTCAGCTGTTCTTGTTTTGCTGACTGCATTGCAGGGTCTTTTTTAAGAATTCGTCTGTGGGGGAGGGGGAGGGATCTACATTTTTGAATTTTTCCACCCCTAGAACTGCATTTCATGCATGAGTTTCTGAAACAGATTTTTGGATATACAAGCGTTTAAATTACACTGTAGATAGACGGAATCTTCGGTTAAGTACTTGCAGGGTATGTTTATGTAAATAAAGCTAACAACTTAACTCAGTCACTAACTTGTTTAGCCTAGCCTTCCAACAACTCAAATCCGTGGATATGCTATCCACATGGAAAGGTATTTACAACACAATTAACGTTTAGCATTTTTAAAAAGACACTGAATGGGGGGGGGGGAGTGAATATAGGTTTTCGGATCGTCGGATTCCGCCGAAAAAATTGTTCGGATTTCGGATTTGGCGAATATTTTACACGGATTTGCGGATCTTATTAATACAGCGGATTGCGGATTTATCTAATATTTTGGCTCGGATTGTGGATTTTGTTTGCAATTTAGTTCGGATCCTGGATTGCATGTGACTTCATAGTAGAGCTTTTAGCGGATCCAAATTTGACAAGATAATTGTCGGACGGCGGATTTCGCTTCAAATTTGGGCGGATCGGCGGATTTGTATACCCTTATTCCCCCCCCCCCCCTGAATCATTTGAAGATTAAAAGCAGTTGTCATACTAGTGACTAGTGACCATAGAGATTATAAATAACACTAGAGGAGGCATTGTAATCTTTATTCAGTAAAAAAAAAGGGAACGCTACTATTGGGGGGCAAATTCAAGTCCCGGATGTGTATTCGTGTTCTCATTGGTGACGAGTTTCAAATCAGCCAATGAGAGCACGATTTTATATCCGGGACTTGAATTTGCCCCCCATTAGCTGCGTTTCCAATTTTTAAACTCGATGCCTCCTCTAGTGTTATTTATAATCTCTATGCTAGTGACGATATTGAGGAAGGGCGTGAAAGGAAGTCTGGTACCTAATAAAGAAAATCCAAGATGGCCGGCGATGGTGATGAAAGTGACAATGAAATATCAGTGGAAGAAGAATCACTTGTCTTGGAATTTCAGGTCAGTTTGATTTGTTTGATGAAAGTAAAGTAAAGTTAAATAACATGGCTTGTTCTTGAACTTAGAACATTGTTAGTAATTTGTTTAGGAATCGGGTTATTGTGAAAGATTTCAAAGATATTTTATAAACTAGTTTTATATATAAAATTTAGCTGATTCGACAAGTGATCAAGCGGTACTTGCACTGTATAATTTTTAACATGTAGCGAAAACAGATTGCAGTATATATAAATTGTTATTTTTTTATTATGAACAATTTGTGAATACGATATTGTTTTATTTCAATTTTCAAAATACTGTACAGTCTGTACTGAAATTAATTAATATATTCATTACGAATGAATTTATTCGGATTTGAATGGCATTATAATTATTAGATGTCACAGTTCTTAGTAAGAGCATATAAACGAATATTTGGAAAGTCCATTCAAACCTTAGGAAACCTTTGAACAAATGAATTTCAATGCAGTATTTCACTTTCAATTGATTGTCTTCTGGTAGTTTGTCTATTGAGTGGCAGCACTTCCCCCTTGACAAGTAAAATAGTCTGGCATTAGACAGAGTAAATTATTAAAGTAGGGGCATCAGGGCACATTGTCACTTAAAGGGTTGACAGGATTGGGGTTTTTTCTAATCCTCCCTTTTTTGACTCACGGATATTGGGAAGCAACATGTGTTAGTCTTTGTGGTTACTTGAGTGTGCAGAGCCTGAAATAACGGCCGGCGCCCGGCGGTTTTCCGACCAAATTCCGATTTTTCCGACCAAAT